TAAAACATGACCGGGACACCGTCAAAACATGACCGGGACACCGTCAAAACAGGACCGGGACACCGTCGTAACATCACCAGGACACCATCAAAACATGATTGGGGCACCATCAACATGACCGGGACACCGTCCCAACATGAACATGAGCGGGACACTGTCAAAACAGACCATCCGGGACACCGTCCGACGGCCCGCGTTGGCAGGGCGCCGGTTGCGTTTTGATAGTGTCCGGTCATGTTCCCGGTTATGTTTTGATGGTGTCCCGGTCATGTTGTGATGGTGTCTCTGCCATGTCATGTTGGTGTCCCGGTTGTCTTGTGGTGGTGTCCCAGTCATGTTGTGATGGTGTCCCGGTCATGTTGTGGCGGTGTCCCGGTCATGTTTTGATGGTGCCCCGGTCACGTTGCGATGGTGCCCCGGTCACGTTGTGATGGTGTCCCGGTTATGTGATGATGGTGTCCAAGGAAGAGATGGTCGACGCGTTGAAAACAGCATCTGTTTCCAGATTTTTTTGTCCCGGTTTGCATCTTGCTTATGGGGCCTCCAGCTGGGCTTTCAACACTAATATACACTAATCAATTCATTTTTCACTGATACCAACTTACTATGGCGTCCTTCTTGCCGCGCCTAGTGATTTGGAGGCTTTACATCGGCTTCAGCAGGCGCGACGAAACTGAAGGATGATTTTTGGAAACAGTGAGAAGAATCTCAATTCCTTTTCGGGATGAAGGGTTCTTTGAGCCTGGGAAGTAGGCCAAGAGCTTGGCACCTTTCGAGGCAAGGGGCCACGCGCAGAACTATGTTCTGCGGACCGCAGCTTTCTTAGACTTGGGATCATTGAATCAACCAGAAAGAAACAACGCAATCAATGATTCCCCAAGCAGTGTGGGCACACTGAGGGGTTCTTACGGTAGTGGAAAAGCAGCTGATGTTTAGATCGCTGAAGCGCGCCGGCGTGAACAGCTAATTCATTGCTATTTATGCATTTTGGTACATGGCGGTCACTTTTCGTGGCAGGCGCAAGGGAAACCTCGTGTTTTGGTGCTCCAAAGTCGACTTTTCGTGATGGGCGCAAGGGATCGGAGCTGTTTTACTTCGAAATGCAGTTTTCGTGGCAGGCGCAGCACTTTGGACATGGTGGTGATCGTCAAGGGGCTCAGATTTCGTGACAGGCGCAGTGAATCGTGACTTTTGGACATGTGGCTCGATTGCAGATGTCCTGGCAGGCGCAGCGCTTTGTGAACCTCGAAGTGCAGATTTCGTGAGACGTACAGCACTTTTTGAACCTCGAAGCGCAGCGCAGTTTTCGTGGCAGGCGCAGCGCTTGGTGAACCTCGTGCAGATTTCGTGACAGGCGCAGCACTTGGTCAACCTTGAAGTGAAGATTTCGTGACAGGTACAGCGCATTGTGAACCTCGAAATGCAGATTTCGTGGCAGGCGCAGGACTTGTGGTGAACCTCGAAGTACAGATTTCGCGGCAGGCACAGCACTTGGTCGACCTGGAAGTGCAGATTTTCGTGGCAGGCACAGCGCTGGTGAACCTCGAAGTGCAGATTTCGTGGCAGGTGCTTGGTGAACCTCGAAGGGCAGATTTCGCGGCAGGCGCAACACTTGGTGAGCCTCGAAGCGCAGATTTCGTGGCGGGCACAGCGCACGGTGAACCTCGAAGTGCAGATTTTGCGGTAGACACAGGGCGCGGTGAACCTCGAAGCGCAGATTCCGTGGCAGGCACAGCACTTGGTGAACCTGGAAGTGCAGATTTCTTCGCAGGCGCACTACTTTGCGCTCTCGCATCTCACCCTCCCACTTTCACTCACACTCCCTCACACTCCCACTCCCACTCTCACTCACACTCGCACCCATGCTCACTCTCTCACTCACACTCACACCCACTCTCCCAGCGCTCACACTCACTCACTCTCACTCACACTCATTCTTATCCACACTCACTCCCACTCACACTCACTCTCACTCACACTCGCACTCCCTCACACACTCACTCACTCTCCCACTCCCACTCACGGTCACACTCACACCCACTCACTCTCCCACTCGCAGACTCTCACTCGCTCTCATTCACACTCGCACTCACACTCACTCACCCACACTCACCCTCACCCACACTCTCACTCACACTCACTCGCGCTCACACTCACTCACTCTCGCACTCTCACTCACATTCACTCTCACTCTCACCCACACTCACTCGCACCCACCCTCATTCTCACTCACACTCACACTCACACTCTCACTCTCACTCTCACTCTCACACTCACTCTCACTCTCACACTCACACTCTCACTCACACTTCTCACTCTCACTCTCACTCTCACTTTCACTCTCACCCACATACCTTCACTCTCACTCACGCTCACTTACACTCACACTCGCACTCACACTCACTCTCCCACTCTCACTCACAACCACACTCCCTCTCATCCACACTCACTCACACCCACCTTCACTTCATCACCACCATCACCTCTCTAGACCGCAATGCGTCTAGATCTCTAGACTTTCTGCTTACAGACCTCACACACACTGTTTGGGATCTCTTGCTGGGATAATGTTTTTTCTAGTCTTGATCAGTTTTTTTGCCTTACCACAAGTGGTGCTTATCTTCAGCTGCTTGCACAGGTCACTCAAGCAGAACTGGACAAGCGATGGGCTCACATACGAGGCGCGATTCCGGAATGCTCGGAGGTGGATTGTTTGCTCCGCTTGCCATATGTTGTTTGATGCATTGGAATATATATATATATATATGTATAGATTGATTTGTCTCGGGTCCTGTAAGCAAAGAAAACGTGAAACATGTTGGCCCACCTGTTTGCGTTGATAGCAAAACTCAACTCCTATACAACACATTAGAATGCATTTTTCCTGAAACAGTGACCTTGCATATCAGTTATCGCTGCTTTATATAGTGTTTTTAGTATGTTTCTGAGTTGATGCAAACCCAGGCGAATATTTGGACATCATGATGGAGGCCGGATGCAACAAGCAGGCTGTCATGAGCCGGTCAGCTCCTGAGACATGGAAGCAGATAGGAAAGAGACATGTGCTGATATCTATTTTTCCCACGAAGGCTTGATGTTCTCGATCGCGAAAGAAGCAGCAAACTGCAGGTTCGTTGTGCGATGCAATGAACAGTGCACCACTCTTGCAGCGAACACATCAATGTGACAGTTGTGAGTTGTGGAGGGTTCTTGCATAATTCTGCAGGAACAAATCCGACGGTGGCTTACTGTGAAGGACCGCACCTTGTGCTACCCTCGAACTGTTCAGCACAAGAGTTACACTTGAACACTTGATGTGGTGCTGAGGCAAAACTGCAAGCGAAAATCGTGCGCCCAGACCTTAAGCAATACATATCCTTTATGGAACAGCGGCCATGCGATAGCTGATGACCGCACCTTCGGGAAAAAACCTGGCAGACCATTCAAACTGGAGGCTGGGGAGGCACAGTCCCAAAAAGTTCGCAGAATCAAAGCCTTGCTCTCCAGATTCTCGGCAGGGAGGGTTTTGACGGGTTTTCAGCTCTTTACCACAAGCCAGTTCTTTTTGATATATGTAATGAAATGGTCTCAATCGGTGACATGTTCAAGGATGGAACTTGGGAAATAGACGCCCTTCAGGGCTATGACCAAAACCGCTGTTGGAGGTGCACTGCTTGGTTATGTGTTTAAGTTTTCTCAGATTAATTTTCTTTGGACTTTCAGATTGTAACAACTCTCCAGGCTAGCGCTGAGAAAAAGGCTGCGGCTACGATCACTCCAGTATGAGCTTTGAGTCGTTCAACTCTTTTTAAGCACGTTTGGGGTAGCGGTAGAAGGGTAGAAGCAGTTCTTCTGGGAACAAGCTCCCGAAGGATTTGTTGGAGAAGTCAGAGTGCACGTGCACATGAAAGTTGGATATTGGAAGAGAAAAGATGTCGTCAATGAGTCAACCAATGGGTTGGGAATGAGCGTTAGATTCTCAAGGCAACAGAATCTTTTGCAAGGCTCTTTTCCCATGAACCTTTTGCCATCATCCAATGCGAAGAGTTTCGGCTCAAGAAACAGTTTGTTGGACACATCAGTGTTTTCCTCTTGGGGAGGTCTTCACAGTCTGTTTGGGATGTGAACGCTCTCGACATACCTTTTGCAAACCAATTTGCTTCAAGTCCAGTCTCACGGAGCAACGGGTGCGCACTTCTTGAGCGCCCTGTGTCACAGCATGGCGGTGAAGAAAGTGAGTGGTTTTACCAAAGAACTTGCAGACCTTGTTGAGGCCTTGCTGAGATGATGTTGCTTGACATGTTGTGTTGCACCATATTGATAGGTAATGCTGCACATTGATGCACGTGTCAATGGCTTCACTGCAAGAAGGACCGGATTGCAATGATACAAGACTACCTCAACGAGGTCAGCTTTTCCTGGTGTGCAATGCTCATGGCCCTAGCTCTTTGCTTGCAGGGGAAGGCTGCGTGCCGGAGCAAGCTGGCCAGATTTGTATGGAGTGCGCCAGCTGTTGCTTTTGGTCCTACATAGAGGGCTTTCCAAGATGATGCGGATTAGCTAGGCTAGTCCATGCGGAAACTCAGTTTGGAGTTTTGTGGTGAGATGCTTTGATGCAGCCATGGCCATGGTGGGATGGCCATGGATGGGCCTGCAGATTTCTTGTGTGCTGAGACAGATTGGCTGCCCGTTGACCCTCAGTGGACATTCAACAGATCATAAGAAGCCTTTACCAAGAGATCTTAATGTATTGAAGCAATGCGCGTGACCAAAGGTTCTGAATAGTGAGTCACAGCGATGTGTCGGGTATCCCACTGGATTCAACATGTTCGCCAAGCTTTGTGTCTTTGTGTCACCTGTGGCACAAGGATAGTGTCCAGGGTCCAGTTCATACAATCAATATTTTATGACTTATGACTATGACATTGTATATCCACGTCCATTATACTACATCTGAGGTACGGCAAAGAAGGTTCGAAACGTTGTGAACCCGGAGCGTGATGTGCAGCACAAGAAAGCTTGGGAAGAAGCGAAAGGCATGCTCAAGGAGATCGACTTGTTCCATTTTGATGCACCTGAAAGCACGGAAATGCAGGAGCTAGTTGACTTTGAGCTGCATGCGGCCCAGTAACTGGAGATTGGAGTGTACATAGCCGGAGTCTGATTTGCATCTAGGTTCAACCCTTGCCAATTGAACGAACTGCCGCTTTGGCCAGTAGATGTTGCACATTGATGAATCATGTCTTAGCACGTTTTGCCCATGTTGGGACAGTGTTCCTGAAAAGCCCTGTTCAGAGATGCTTGCCAGGTGTGTGAAGTACGTACTGGAGCCAAAGGTTGTCAAGGTTGCTTGTAGATCTTGTAGAATTTTGCTGCTTTGGTTGAGTCGTTGTCAGAGTATATAGCATATTCCATGCCCCATGACATGCATGATGTACAGTTGCTACATGATGTAGCCCCTTCAAGGACCAAGTTGCTGTGAGCTAGAAAAGTAGCAGCCCCTTTTACTTGTTGTTGGGTCACTGCGCCCTTGCATGGTAGCGGAGCTCTAGGTTCCAATACCAGGGCTCGACACCCAGCTGGTAGAACCGCGGGTGTGCTGGCTGCGGGTTGCCCCGCGTCAGCTGCTGGTTGCGGGTAGCACCGCACCAGCGGGAGGCGCAGCGGCGCCTAAGAGAAACAAGCGCGGCAAGCGCAGCAAAGAGAAACAAGAGGAAAGGGTCCAAAGAGGGATCCAGAAGCGCCTCGAAGCGCTTCAGGAAAGGGCAGAAGCCCAATACCCCGAACTGGTTGGCCAGGCCAGTTCACCAAGGGGATCGGCCAGTGGAGCAACCAGGACAGTGGTTCTCCAGGAAGATCCAAAGAAAGAAGGTGTAAGGTTGGTCCCAAACCCGAACCGACCTAAGAAGAGGCGCGCCAAACAGACCCAGCCCAAGGGGTCAATCAGGTTGAAGTCAGCTGCACCTGAACGCCAAGAGAGGACAGAGAGAAGGCAGTTTGTCAAGGCTAAGTATAGCAAAGGCAAATACCTCATTGGTGAGGGTAAGAGAGAGTGGAAGAAGCACCGATTTCACCAAAGAAGGGACTTTGTGAAAGACCTCAGGCCATTCATCCCTCGAAGAACAGTTGGTGATTGGGTGCTGGAGCAAAACCTTCCACCTGATTGCTCTTCGTGTGACGAGCGCAAGAAGAAGCAGAGACCATTTGTCTTGGCCTTTGCGTCACAGGTAGCAAGGAAGAATAGAGCTAAGGCAGTGATTCCTCAGAGGACTCCACTGTTGGCCCAGTGCCACGCCCTGAAGAAACCCGAGACCAAGGAAACCAAACCTTATCCAAAACTGCCAAACGTAGAGGAAGAGGAGACAGAGGAAGAGCAAGCGCCTGTACCACCTCGCGATGATGCCCACTTCGGCGAGTGGGGACGATTCCGAGGGCACAGGGCCAGGATCCAATGCAGCAGCTGGCGCAGCAGTTGCAGCACACTAACCAGCTTCTCACCAATATGCAGGACAGAGTGCACTCGCTGGAGCAAGAAAGAGCACGCCGGGTGAGCATTGCCACGGACACAGTAGATGAGACTAGGAATTTGGGTTTTGGTCATGGCCCCAACATGTCATCGTCATCCCAAAGTTCAAGTTTGGTGGATACCAGGTCCCTTGGTGAGCCCGAGGTTTTCAAAGGTGATGATGGGTCAGTTGCAGATTGGGCATTCATTTTTAAGAGTTATGTTGGATGCATTGCCCAGGAATACATTCCATTGATGGAAGGATGTGAACAAAGCAGGGTACCAATGGTAAACAGATCCCTTGGACCCAGCGAGCAAGGTCTCTCAGGGCAACTTTGTTACATTTTGGTAATGCTATTTAGGGGACGTGCCTTGGACATCGCCCACAACTGTGGAGTGGGTGAGGGATTTGAAACATACAGAAGGTTGTTTGAGCAGTATCACCCCCGCGTCGCTTCAAGATACGTGGGGTCACTCTCATTGATTTTGTCAACGCGTTTCACCAGTGATATTGAGAGTGAGTTGGAATCCTTCGACAAAACCATTCGAAGGTATGAGACAGAATCTGGAAAGACTCTGGACGAGGAAATCCTTTTGGGAGTTGTTGTGAATGGATTGCAAGATCAATCCATCAGGGATCACATCATCCGAAATTCAGCCAGACTTCAATCGTTTCAGCAAGTTCGAACTGAGCCTTTGGAGATTGCAAGAACCAACCGGGTCTTGCAACAAATGCCAGCGCCAATGGATATTGGTGCGTTGCCCAAGGGTAAGGGCAAAGGTGGCGAGAAGGGTGGTAAAGGAGACCACAAGGGATCAAAAGGGGTAAGCCTTCTACCAAAGATGGTAAGGGTAAAGACGCACCCAAAACCAACCCCAATGCTGAGAAGGAATGTTTTTATCGCAAGAAAAAGGGTCATGTGAAGTCTGAATGTAGGAAGAAGGCCGCAGATGACAAGCAAAAGGCAAAAGGTAGCGGGAAGAACCACCCCCCAAATGCAGCTGCACCTTCTGAAGAACCTGAACCAATGACTGCAACGCCGACCCAGGAGTCTACGTTCATTGCAGCAACCATTGCAGGACAGCAGGAGGTGTTGGTGGACACTGGGGCGGGGATGCATCTGTTTAAGACGGGCTTTAACCCATTTGCCACCAAGTTAAGTAAGTTCTACTTCAACCACTGGGTTGGTTACAGTAACTGGTGAACCATTAGACACGGGCATCCTGAAGAGAAGCACCATATCAACGGAAGGTTGCATTTTCAACATAGGCTACGCAGAGTCGGACAAAGTAGGTTTTTCAGTGATGGGTGCCGGAAAGGCAGCGCTTAAGGGAACCCGGACGGTGATCGGTCCAGACGTTCAGTGTATGATTGTTTCAAAACATGCCCACCTGATCCAAGATGCGGTTGAAAAATCCCGCACAATCCCATTGGTGAAGAAAAGAGGTGTTTACTGGCTTCCAGTTTCTGGATGCAAAAGCCAGCATGCGGGCAGCCCCGCTGAACCCATAGCTGCGCATCCAGTGGGTGGTGCTGCTAGGCAAGCTCAAGCGGGCAGCCCCGCTGAGCGAGGTTGGGTAGTCCCACCAGCCAGATGATTGCAGCAGCAAAGGTGGTGAAGAAAGCAATTCCAGCTGGGCAGGATAATGAGGCAGAGGCGCCTATCCATCCAGCGGATGGACATGGAGACCCAGTCTTTGAGGATGAGCCCAGAGAACTTCCAGCCTTGGGTGAACCACTGCCTGAAGTTTCAGAAGTTTCAAGACCCCCAAAACCAAGAAGACCCCAGATACAGTTTCAAAGGCCGAATATGACGGCCACATGCTGCCACTGAGAAACTGGTGTGAGCACTGTATGGCAGGAAAGGTGCGTGAGGACGCCCACCCGCGTCGAGCAAAGGGAGATGAGGCACAAGAGGTCCCACGTGTTTCATTTGATTATTGTTTCTTAGGTAGAGTTTTGGACCTAGGTGAAAAAGATGACCCAAAGGTCCGAGACCTTCAGGAATCCCAAGGTGAAGATGAAAGTAATATCCCAGTCCTGGTCGTCATCGACGAAAGGACGGGATGCGTTTTTGCAAGTGTAGTTGCAAAAGGTGTCAACCCACATGCCATCAATGTTGCGGTGGAGGCACTACGTTTCACAGGAAGACAGAAAGTTTTGCTTCACACTGATGGTGAACCCGCCATCAGAGCGTTGGCAGACGCTGCTGCCAAGCAGTGGAACAAAGAAGCACGATTTCAGACTGCGCCGTGTGACTCACATGCCTCAAATGGTGCAGTGGAACGGGCAATTCTGGAGGTGTCAAGACAGGTCAGAACCATAGTTCATGCTTTTGAGACCAGATATCCAAGCTATAAGGTCAAGCCATACGGTCTGGTATATCCATGGGCTGTAAGACACGAAGCCTGGCTCTTGACCAAATTTCTTGTCAAAGCAGATGGCAAAACGCCATACGAACGATTGCGAGGTCGAGAACACAAAGGAGAAGTCACAGAGTTTGGAGAAGTCTCACACTTCAAGCTTGCCGATGACAAGAAAGGAAAACTAGATTCTCAGAGTGCAGTCGGCGTGTGGTTGGGCAAGTCGCTCAATTCAGACAAACACTACCTAGGCACCGAGAATGGAATCAGGCGATGCAGGTCTTTGTGGAGACGGCCTGAGAGACTCCGATCGTCCAAGGAAAAGCTAGACAGCGTGAAAGGAGTTCCTTGGCAGCCGAAGCAACAGGCTTGAACCCAAAGCAGAGCGAGCTCCAAGATCTGTGCGCATCACATTGGACAGGCAAATCAAGCACGGGCAAACTCCAGGTTGCCCAAGGTGTTTTTCAACCTTGGATGATCCGAAGAGACATTCGGCAGAATGCAAGAAGAGATTTGATGAGCTGCAAGGACACTTGGTTGATGCAGAAATGGGACAGGCAGATGTCCAGGAAATTCCTGATGTGGAAGCGGGCAACTCCGCTCCATCGTCAGGAAGCGCGGGTAGCACCGCCGAGCCCCGCAGGCCAACTGGATCCAGCGGGTAGCGCCGCGGATTCATCCGGTGTCAAGCGTGCAGCGCCCGCTCCAGACTCAACAGCCGCAAAAGGGATAGCATCGCGCAGTGGCGTGGGCAAGCTGAAGCGCCTAGACATCAAGGAGTTGTGGCTGCAGGAGAAAGTGAGAGCTGCGCAACTCCGAATCCGGAAGGTTGGCACAGAAGTGAATTGGGCCGACCTCGGCGCCAAAAGCTTGAGCGGTCAACGCGTCGGCGACTTACTCAGCATCATGCCACTGTGCAGAAGGGGCTTGGTGGTGGCGTGTTTGCTGTGCTGCCTAACAGGCGTGAATGAAGGCTCAAGAAGAAGAAGAAGAAGAAGGAGGAGATGGTTGGAACCTCCTAATGTACTAGTACATGGTCCTTGTGCATTTGTTGGCATTGGTTGCCATTGTCATTGTCTGGGGAGCCATCTCTATGTGTGGACGAAGGCGTCGCAAAGGCACTGTGAAGACCTATAGCAACACTTCCACGCAAACTGACCCCCCAGAGCATGTAGCAGCAAGACCAGGAGCTGCCAGTCATGGAGGGGGTCCAAGATTGAGAACACCACAGGCGCTCGCAGATCTTTCTCAAGACAGGGTGTATGTGATTGGAAATGGAGAAAGGTATCACAAGAGAAGTTGTGGTATGGTGCAAGCAGCACTGACAACACAGAGGAAATCGAGTGAGAGAAGTTTCACGTGGCCATGCCATTTTGGCGCAATACACTGCTTGTGGACAGGGTGGCGGTTAGGTTTCACATGGCTGCCTAGAGACTACCGACTCAGGCTGTGGAGGGGTGTCAGAGTATATAGCATATTCCATGCCCCATGACATGCGTGATGTACAGTTGCTACATGATGTAGCCCCTTCAAGGACCAAGTTGCTGTGAGCTAGAAAAGTAGCAGCCCCTTTTACTGCGCCCTTGCAGTCGTTGTTTCTGTCCCGTGGACATTTATTCGTGAACAAACCACCTACTGATTGTTTGCCGTTGTCTAGAGTGTTTTGAAGCCGTGCGAGTTGTAAGCACGGTACCGTATCATAAATCAGATTTTGAGTGAAATTTCAACAATCACCCAAAATACCAACTCACAATTTTGTAAAATTGGACATTGAAATCTTCTTTCATGCCAGCCTCCGAGCAGGTTTTGGTGAACTACCACCATTTTGTCCTCACAAGGCAGATTAAAACCAGGCACACTTCTCCAAAGCTCCTTGGTCAGACGGACCGTGGGCATGCTGCTCACGTTGCTCAGTGTGTTGTGAACATCAGGAACAACCATTATTTTTGGCCACTGGCAGGACGAGATTTTGTGCATTGACAAACCGCCTATGTTTACGTGCAGTTATGGTGGTTTCAGCAGATTGCCACATAGAGCAGCTCAGCTCGATGCAGTTTGTCAGCATGAGGTTTGTCCAATATCCATGTCTTGGCAGGCAAAGGTCAGCACACCAACTCAACTGCTCAATTGCGAGAAGGCTGTGGCGTTCTATGGTCGTGAATGGCCTTGAATGGAAGTAGAAGAGAGTACAAAGGAGTACTTGTACAAAGACATTCCTCCGGGTCGGAAACAGAACGTGTGGTTGTGTACATGTTTAAACATGAGAAAGTCTGCCAAACCAGAGAAACCCTGTAAAAACCTACATGTCTTAAGTCTCGAGTTGTCATCGATGCATGGAGCCTCACTGGGTGCCCTAGAAAACCTTGTGTTTTGCAAAAAAGAAAACAATTCTTTTTTGTCTAAGTAGAGGGCATCGTTTCGATGGTCTCAAAAGGAGAAAACAGCAAAAACCCATAGGAACGGCAACCGAAAACTCGCGTGTTCGTGGGCGGCCGGTTTCACGCCCAGTCGGAGAGATGTTGCGCGCATTCGGACATCAGGTCCTTCGAACCTGTGTTCATGAACCACCATTGCCAAGCACGAATCACATTAACAATTCATCAATCAGCATCGTGTTCTACTCATTACACGAACGAAACCAGCCCCCCCGAACCTCCCGTAGAATCTTCTGTCGTCACATCAACAACTCATCAGCATCATCTTCTACTCGTTACACGAACGAAACCAGCCCCCCC